TCGGTGTAGTTTTCTTGGATTTGAAGAACTTTGAGTTTTTGAAATTAGGGTTTATGGAAATGAGAGGTTTGTGATTGAGGATGATAATGTGGAGGTTGATTTTGAGTTTTGTGATTTGGGTTATGTTAAGGAGGGTTAAATTGGATGTTTAATCGGTTTAGAATGTTGTTAAGACTTCTATTGTTCAAATGGGATGTTTGGGTGTTGAATTCCTATAGTGGGTCCTTGAGGTTATGAGTTTTAATTGATGTTTAGAAAGGAATTAAGATTTAAATAGATTTTTACGACCTTGGAGTGTTGCCTTGGTGGTTATACCCTTTTGAGTTAGGTAGAGTTTGGTTGAAGTTAGGAATTGTGTCCCCAAATGTTGTTTTAACCACATTATTAGTTGAAAGCTAATACATGATGGTTGTGTGCTTGTGTAGACCGATTGTGAGCCTTGTTGGTGCACGGGGCCGTGTTGTTGGTTTGTTATTCCTTGCTCAGGCGAGAGGTAACCACTTTCTAATCCTTTATACATGCTTTTGTGGTATTGTGAGTAGATTTATGTTTTGTGCTCCGAGTAACAACTGTATTCAAAGTGTATGTTGTATATTAAAAAGGAAAACCGTCTTGTGGGGTTTCAATTGATATTGAATGAATTTGGAACTTGTGAAGGATAGGCCACTAAAAGAAGTTAATTGTGAAATGATTATTTACTCTTTGATTACAGTTTGAGCATGATGCATGAATTGGGAATTGGTGAGAGTTTTGATTGTTACTACCATGTGGTAAGGCCTCTATTAATGCATGATGGTTGGCTCTTTACGTCCCCCCATAGTGAGGGATAGGCCTTTTGGCTCCCTACGTCCCCCAGAGTGACGGATAGGCCTTTTATAGCTCCTTACGTCCCCTATAGCAAGGGATAGGCCGAGTTCGGCTCTTGAAAATCCCCCAAAGTGAGGGATATGGTTGATGGGATGGCATCATTGCACTTGCATGACTTGTTGTGGCTATCATTTATCATATTACTTGTGAACTGCCCCACTTGACACCTCACGAGCACCTATTTAGTAGTACCTTCAATTGGAAAGATTGGTTACTAGGACGTTTGTCTCACCCCATGGTTTACAATGTTTTCAGGTGAAGACTCTAGGCGTGTGCCATCGGGAAGAGACGCAAAGGCTTGAGCTTGGTTAGCTTTAGGCCTCTAGCCCTTGTATATGTATGGCTAGTATATATTGCCACCTTTAGGATTCCTTTTGAAATATTTTAATTGCCCGACCTTATTGTAAACTGGAGGGAATGTTATCTCCTTATTTTGGGTTGGCCAGAGGCCATTTCTAGTGTCTTATGAAACTCTGATTTATCTTGTTAGAAACCATTTGGATGGGCTGATGTGATGACTTTTGTTACCTGGGCCGGAGGCTCGGAGGCCCAGTGGATGTAAATGAACGATTTTAGTTGCATGCAACGGAGTTTGAGTTTGAACCGAGTTTAGATGTTAATTTCAAAAAATTATGTAAATTTCTTTCTACTATGGTAGTTTGTTGTAACAGCTTTCCTTTTCTATCATAGTAGTGATTTTATGACGAGTTTATAATGTTTTGAGGAAAAAGGTTTTACAATATTTATTACTAATTTGAATTTGAGAAGAAAGGTACTACCTCTGGTCCTAATTATAAGAGCTAATTGACTAATTTGAGGAGACTAAGGAAGTAAGTTGAGTTAGTTATTTGTCCTAAATAGGTGTTGTCTTTTCTAAAATATCCTTACTAATCAAGTGTATTGACTAGAACTATTATTGTTAGAAGGGTTACTTTGGAAAAAAATGTATAAATATAATAGACAAAGTGGATTGGGGTCTTATATTTAGGACCAAAATAAAAATTAAAACAGGGTCTTATATTAAAGACCGGAGGTAGTAGTATTTTAAACGATAAGGATTAAGGAACCTGGTGACAAAACCATGTTTCCTTTTTGAAGTGAAACGTAGAATGTGGTCACTTCAGTTCTCTCCACACACACAGATATATGCTTTCCATGTGCTCTCTCCTTTAAGCTTCAGCCCCTTCCTCATGTACTATCCCATCATCTTTATTAATCTCTCCTTTATGCCTGCAATACTCTCTCACAATAATACATATATAATATTTCGGGACAAACAATTTCTCACACGCACAGACGCATCCTTTAACGTTTCCGATTTTTAAATCGCACAGAATCTGTACTAATGCTTCTAAAGTTATGATACGTCATGAAAGGTTACTATAATAGAATGTCAATTATAGATATAAATCTTATATATAGAAGTGACATTTGTTACATTATTTATAAAAAAGACTTGTAAAAAAAGGTTTTTATTTTTTCACTAATTGATGTGTGTGTGTGTGTTTTGGTATGGTTTAGGTCATGTCAATTCTTGATGAGCATATCTTGGGAGAGAGAGTACTCAGATATGATGGGAAACATGAGAATTGTGAATCCACTAAAGAAATAGAGTGAAAACAAGAAAAAAGAGATTCTTGTATATCGATCTCTGCTGGCAATAACTTAGTTGGATTCCCACCCTATACATTTACATAATTTAGTTGCTTTTATGTGTTTGGCAGCGTCTTTTCAATCTAACCCACATCAAAGCAAATAAAGCATATCAGCCTCACCTTGACCATATGAATTTGCGTTAAAACCCACCATGCATGGAGTGAAAATTATGAGACTGCCATTTTTAATAACAACAAAATGCTGCCTCATACCAACAGGTGTTCGTTTAGCCAGAAGGGTTAGTCCCTTATAATGTGATAACTGAAGATTCAAATACCTGTTAGGAGAGACATTTACAGTTAATACCCGAAAGTGCTTTAAACAGATTCTAATTTTTCAAAAGTGATTTTATCATATACCAGATAAGAATATAAAATGAGTTTTATCTCAACTTAAGTGAAAATATTTTTTTTAAGTGTTTTTTGGAGTTGTCAAGCACCTTCATCCCGAAGAAAAGATCATAGCAAACGAAATATGAGCTAGACTAACTCTTCACGTGCCCAAAGAATTAGGTTTGAAAAGCCTGTTCATAGAAGAAAAAGATAAAACAATTGATGTCACAAAATTTCTAATTCAAATCATAAATATTAGTAAATATTAACAAACAAAAGTGGTAAATTATTGTCTAAATATCCAGAGCTAAACTAAATCAGATAAGTATCCTGAATCCTAGTACAACCATGTAATTTTTTAATAACAGTCAAATAATTGAGGTACGCATTTGACCATCAAGATAGTAACCCTAAAAAAATGCTTCCTACACTTCTATCTCAACTCACTTAGCAACTTTCCTACTTAAACAATAAGTATTGTCCTACTCGATGGTCATCCCAGTAAAATACTATCTCCTGTTCTTAATGTAAAATCTTGTTTGATTTTTATTTTGGTTCTAAATATAAGACCCCAATCTACTTTGTCTCTTATATTGATTCATTTTTTTCTCAAGATAATTCTTCTAATAATGATAATTCTAACCAACAAACTTGATTAGCAAGAATATTTTAGGAAATATAACACCTATTTATTACAAATAACTAACTTAACTTGCTTTTTAAATCTATTCAAGTTAATTAACTAATTCTTATATTTAAAACCGGAGGTAGTACTCATGAATTATGGCTACTTGTAAATTTTAAATGATGCGGATATGAAACCAGCGGAATGAAATTGAAAAAGGGTGACCCATTAACCAAATATCATGAGATGCATTTTGATATGAGGGTGGGCCGGTACACATCCCACGAATTAGATTTTTTTAAAGGAATTTGTGTGTGTGTGTGTGTGTGTTTTTTTTTTTTTTTTAAATTTCCTGCGTTTATTAAGATGCATCAGAACTCGGAAGCAGACTAGGTGGGGATTGGAAATGACAAAATACAAAGTAAGACTATTTAAGAACTTAAAAAGGAGAAAAAGATTCTGAATTCAGTTCGTTTTTTCCCTCTTTTGCCTTTCGGATATTGACCAACACTAGATTTGGATTGGGCTGGGCTTATACACATGTCCAGTTTACTCTAGTTTTTCATATATTTATTATAGACATTCAAGTGAAAACTATGCAACTGGTAAGGGCATGTCAAAAGAAACTAAGGTTTGAATTTTTGTTCAAAGAGGTATTTACATTTAACACCTGATAGTATCTCGAATAAAATTACATGTAATAGAAAATACCTATAACCTAATAAAAGGAAGGTGGAAAAGGTATATGTTGTTCGGGTATGCTATTTCCTCCTTTTGGGAAATTTCGGTCTCTTCGGAGCTAATCTTGGCAAAGCTAATATCTGTGGGTCATTTACAGTGATTGCTGGCATGTCTGTTTACACTTACCTTAACCTGAAAGAAAGAAAAGTATACATTTAAATTAACAGAGTTAGGTCTAATAGAAGAAGCTAGTTAGGTCTAATAGAAGGAGCTAGTCTTTCACAACATAACAAATTAAGTTTCAAATCCTTGTTGTGCCTTAAATAAAATTGTCTTCAATAAAAAGATATCCACGTCTAGGCAAAAAAGTATAAATTTATAAAACATAAAAAGTAGAACATGACAATATATACCTGGCCTTTTAAATTTAATTTAATTAAATGTTAATCAATTGAGGGTCGATAAATGTTCAGGTTAAATATTTGCGCTTATTTAGGGTTTGAGGGTTTGAAAAGGACCTGATATTTTTTTTAATAGAGAAATGGTAGGTTTGAAAACCGAAATTACAATTCCATTCCTTTATTTTTTTTTTTTTGGGTACAGAATTCCATTCCAATTCCTAAGCGGAAATAAAATGTTAACGTCATGAAGCCCATTGAAAAGAGGCCCATAAGAAGCCTGAGAGATAAAGCCCATTTATATGTTCAAGCATTTATAGCTGTCTAATTTCTCCCGTCAGTTTAATCTCAGCCGTCAGATTTAGGTTTGGAAAAACCCTAATTGGGCTCCTCCTCCTGAGCTGGTATAAGAGACCCCTCCACTGTTCCACTTTCACTCTCAGCCTGCAACCGCATTCTGCGTGCTTCTCTCTTACCATTTCTTCAAAGACGAATAGAGGTTAAAGAGACGGCGTTGCTCTGCTGTCCGCCTTGACCTAGCTCTGCTTCGTCTTGGCCCTCGATTTTGCTTCACTCCCATCAATTTTTACTTCTAGTTTCTTTAGTAGCATCATCAATGGCGGTGAAACCCACAAAGGCCGAGAAGAAGATCGCTTACGATGCCAAATTGTGCCAGCTTTTGGAGGAGTACACCCAGATCCTTGTGGTGGCGGCCGACAACGTCGGATCCAACCAGCTTCAGAACATAAGGAGGGGTCTGCGTGGTGACTCGGTGGTTCTCATGGGCAAGAACACCATGATGAAGCGCTCTGTTAGGATTCACGCCGAGAAGACTGGCAACGATGCCTTCCTCAACCTTATCCCTCTGCTTCAGGTGAGTAATCTATTCGTGGCTCCTTTACGCACGACGGGATTGAATTAAGTCGTTTCCCTTAAGCTGTGTTTATGGCTTAAATGAACCTTTCTTTGAAATGAAAGCGTATGAGCATATGATGCGCGTTTGGCTATTTTTTCCCCCTTCCAATGCCAACGCGGGCCTTATAATTCGTCCATTGTCTTAGGGCAACGTGGGGCTAATTTTCACTAAAGGAGACCTGAAGGAGGTTAGCGAGGAGGTTGCCAAGTACAAGGTGAAGTATACATTTTTCTGCGATCCTATTATATATATTATGACGAGGTTAAATCATTCTGTTGACCCTAGTTAGCTTTGAAGCTTTGCATACCTTTGATAATTATCTGCAGTAAAATGGCGATATTATTTCACCAAACCTGTTTAGCTGTGGTGCTTTATTTTATCATTGATGTACAGTCTGCTGAATATACAGTATTTAGGAATGTTCACTTCATTTTAACAAACAAGCCTCTTGTTAATTCTGATCCTTATAATGGCATCTTTTCATTGGTGAAATTGACATTCACTTTCTGGTGGTTTTCTCCTTGAGTCTTCTAAGGAAAAATCCTTTTTTTCAAGTGTTTCCTTTATTTTGGTCCTTCAGACAGTTTTGATTTTGAAAGGTCTTCTGCCTAATTTTACAATCTATCTGGGTATCTCCTTGATGAACTAGTCTGCTGCCAAATTTTACAATCTATCTGGGCATCTCCTTGATGAACTAATTCTTGGAAAGTGTGGAATATGCTGATTTTATATACTTCAATTTTAAAGCCCTTGTAAATATTTTAAGGATTTATGCTTGGGCTATTCTGTTTTCCTATACCCCTCCATTAACAAGTGTCTGCATTTGTACAGGTTGGAGCTCCTGCCCGTGTTGGTTTGGTTGCTCCCATTGATGTCGTTGTTCCTCCTGGCAACACGGGGCTTGATCCCTCCCAGACATCTTTCTTCCAGGTAATTCGCAATCTTGAGTTGAAACAGTTTCAGTTCCATTCTTGAGAATACTGAGTCCATGCCTTCCACATTTCAGGTCCTCAATATCCCCACCAAGATTAACAAGGGTACTGTGGAAATTATCACCCCTGTGGAACTTATTAAGAAGGGAGACAAGGTCGGCTCTTCAGAAGCTGCTCTGCTTGCAAAGCTTGGGATAAGGCCCTTCTCTTATGGGCTTGTGGTCCTATCTGTGTATGATAACGGTTCTGTGTTCAGTCCCGAGGTTCTTGATCTTACTGAGGATGACCTTGTTGTGAAATTCGGGACTGGTGTTTCCATGGTGACATCACTCTCTTTGGCCATTTCATACCCAACAATTGCAGCTGCACCGCATATGTTCATCAATGCCTACAAGAACGTGTTGGCTGTTTCCGTGGAAACTAGTTACTCTTACCCTCAGGCAGAGAAGGTTAAGGAGTACTTAGAGGTATTGTCTTCAACATTTTATGTGGCTGTGACTGTCAATTATTTCTCCACTATATAGCCCTTCGAACCTCAGTTCCTAATTGTTGTGTATTAACTACAGGATCCCAGCAAGTTTGCTGTTGCTGCTATTGCAGCTGCTCCTGTTGCTGATTCTGGTGCTGCCCCAGCTGCTGCTGCCGAGGAGAAGAAAGAGGAGCCAGCAGAAGAATCTGATGATGACATGGGTTTCAGCCTGTTTGATTAATTGCGGGTCTCTTTGGAAGTTAAACATCATGTTTCTTTCTATATGTCTTGAGTCGTTAAATTAGGTTATTTCCCTTGTATTGAAGATATTTAGTAATTAAATTTTTGGATGCTTTTTTTGGCCAAATATTTCTTAAAACTAAGTTGTAATTTGATATTCCTAGTTACGATGTGTCCTCGTGCTTTGCCTGGTTTATGCGCGGTTGTTTGATGTTTCATGTTTTTAAGCGTGAAGGCCTCTATGAGTTGGCTACTACGTTACTGTTACTATCGCTTTTTAGGTTTTGCGATCGAAAAGGCCTAACATTCTCCTAGCGGAAGTGGGAAGAGGCTATTTGATCCCAAGTCTTGCCCGTGCTTGAATAATTTAGTATGGAAATTTAAATTCGAATGTAGCTTTTGTTTCTCATTCTTTGTCCATGATTTTACTGAAACATTTTAGCGGCGGAAATATTAGATTTATGTAAAATCAACTTTAAAATTCAGGTTTTCCTGTTTCCGTTCCTTTCTTGGTCACTTGCAACTGGATGTCTAACTCAAGATTGCCCGCCGTGTCATGTCGAGGTTGACCCTCAGTGGATGTTGTACTTGTAATTCTGGGCGTCAAAAGCAATGATTATCAGTAACTGAATCATGGTTGTGAGGAAGCTAAATAACACGGGAATTAGTTTGCAAGAGACCATGTGCTTAATGGGCATGTTTTTGTACTTCTCTTTTCTTCTTGTTAGTTCTGCATTTACATCTCCGGAGGTTGCAAAACATGAAAAATCTGTATTAATTTTCGGCATGCTTCGGGTGGGGTTCATGAATGAATTGATCCTGTTGAATCTCATCACCCGCCTCCCACTAACACGGGAGTTTTTATGCCACTAGGCTATATTAAATTTATTATTTTGTTTTGCTTAATTTGTGCCTTATTCTTTCGTATCTTTGTTTTATATCAGCCTTCACCCAAATATTGTCCATGTTTGAACTCAAGTGAACGTACTGAAATCATAATGGAATGGAATTTATGTGGTTGCTTTCTGTATTGTTTTGAACGTGGCCTTTCAATGGCTGGTTAATTTGTGATTCTTTGTCGTAAGTGGTGGCTGGAGCAGCCACATTTTAGTGCCCGACAATTATTAGTCACAAATTTAATTTCGTCAGGAACTTAACTGTCATTAATCGCATATCTTGGGACTCGACTGGTATTCTGCGGAAAATCAATTAAAAATTTCGAGGAAAATGAGCTCTGATGGCCACCTACGTTTATCCGAAAAAGAAAAACACCACTCATTTTAGTGGTTTATACTTTATGCGCGGAGATAACTATCAGAGAAAGAAAAACACAGAATATGGAAACAAAATTGGGAATAAATGAATGGATCAAATTCAGATGGTGACATCACATTCTGTTACTGGGGCATCGCATAGCCAACGTTGGAGCTCAGTTACCCCAAATATGATCGAAGATGACTGGTTTTGTTTGATGAAAGACATGATTGGCATTTCCCCAGTTGTTGTGGGATTGATCGGTCGCTTTGCTTTTTTATCTCATCGAGTACCCTAGTGGTATTAATTTTATAATCTTTTTCGGTGAATTAATTGTGCTATATTTTCTTTTACTGCAGTTTCTTTTACTAAGGGATCATTAATGTTAATATTTTATTAATGAGATTATTAATTCAGTATTTGAATAACGATTTTGTCAAAATAATAAAATGATTTTAAAAATGTTCTCAAATCCCATGACATGTGTTCCGGAGGAATCATTTAAGCCAATCTGAAAATAAATAAAATGGAACAAAATTTTTTAAAAAAATTATTCAACGATTTAAGCAAGCAGATCTTTGTTGCATGTTTATTTATTTAACTAATTATTTCCGTGGGGAATAGATTTTTTTCCAAAAAAAAAAAAAAAAGGAGTGTTGCGTGTTGAAGTGAGAGACGGCTAACGGATTCTGACCTATCAAAGAAAAGAAGTGCGAGGAAAGGGCGATGGATGGGTTTGGATAATACTGCTAGGTTGCGCGCCCCTACGTGCTAATCCCTTTCATTTCCTATGCTCTTCAATTCACCCTTATCCCCCCACTCATCCTTTCTCCCTCACCACAACCCTATTTCAAATGAATTTGAAACAAAAAGTATTTTCATAAATAATACTTTCTTCATTTTTAAGAATCTATTCCAAGATTCATATGCTGACGCAAAACATGAAAATTATATAGAGCTGGGTTATTCATAAGTCATACTCTGTATTTCCAAATACAAGGTCCATTTGAGACTTTTAGTTTGTTTTAATTACGAAGTCCAATTCTTTCTTATTTGTCTCCTATTATCTCTGGTTTTAGTCATAGAAACTGAATAAAGTTAATCACAGCTGCTTCACCCTTTCTTATTAACTTCAATTTTGGTTTTAAAGAAATAGCACAAAATTATCTGAAAACATACGGCCCAAAATTCAGTAAATCTGCTAATAAAAACATATAATAACATTATTTTTCTAATATTTTAATGCCAAAAATAATTGATACTCCCCACGAACCAACTCTTCATTATCATAACTAATGGCCCCGACTTTTTACTTTTAATACCTAATATAATAATTTTTAATACTTTCTCTTATTCATAATATAAAACAACTAATAAATGCGTTTTAAATTGACGAAAACTAGTTATTTCACTTTTAGATAAAAAAAATTCTAATAATTTATTATGTCAATCTCTTAAATTCTTGCATCGAAATTTTGTTTTAGGAGGATTTTTATATGGATAGGACGGGAAGGATTAGCGTGCAAGCCAAAAATGTAAGGTTTCAAATTCAATCTCCACGTGGCGGCGTTTAGCATGGCGTATAGTTGGTCAACCATTTCTGTAGTTTCTGGTGCCCCACTTTTGCCGACAGGACAGACCCTCATCACTCCTTGTCGCCTTGACACGTGTCATAGGGTTTCTGGGCCAGCAGCATTGTGGGTAGGTTGAAGAACAACTGGCTTTTCCCTTGATTATCTCCGGTTTGGCATCCTGCTAGCGCTGGTGACAAGCCAAGCCCCTACTATTTGTTTCTGCCCACAAAATAGAAGTAATAACTCACAGATCTCATTTGGAAAAAAAAAAAAAAAGGTAATAACTCACAGAGTTCTATTTGTATTTTATTATTATTTTCTTTTGCAGTTTATTTTTGCATAAGACTTTTAATTTAAAAGAAATATTCACATTTAAAATTGAAATATTTTATTGATATACATGGTCGCCAAAATAATTTCGTGACAAATGTTTTACAATTTTTAATATAAAAATTTAATTTTGAGTTCTCTAAAAAAATTAATAGGAAAGTGTTATTTTTTAAAAATAAAAAACTTGTTGAAATCATCAGCGCAGGTATAATTAGTCCTATGGTGCTATACATAGGGAAAGAGAGAGTATTTTTATGCTTAATATAGGTGATGTCATTAAATTTATCAAATCAAAATATTACCCTTTCAATCCTTAATATAAAATCTAATTAATTAATTTAAATAAATTAAAGATATCAATTAAATTAGTTAATATGACATATTTTTTAAAATGCCATAATACTTTACCTTAATTCACTTCATCCCTCTCCTATTTAATTATTGTCGATAAAATATCAATAGGGTCAATTTAAAAAAAAATTGATAAATATATGAAATAGATCTTATATACAAAACTAACATTAACTCTCAAACGATAGTACCATCTCCAGTCATAATTATAAGATCTTATTAGACTACAAACGAGATTTTATAATTAAGATTATAGATGATATAATTTTATTCTTAATTTATTATTTTTGGTAGGCACAACATTGATATTCTAGAATAGGGGTTTCAGATAAAAGTTGTGATCCACTTGAACTATCTGATGGTGGATATCTGCACGCCTCGTATCCTTCTTTCTGATTTACTTGCAAAATATTCTTCTTATCATGGCAACTTGCTCCCTTCTAAAATTCAACACGGTTCGGTTACGGTCCAAAAACAATGGCTCAGTTAGCATCGTACATATCGATATTCACCCTTTTTGTCATGTTATTATTCTTGTTAAACGTTTTTATTACGTTTTAAGAAACATTTAGAAGAGAATGAGATGTGGCATAATTAAATTATTTCTCACGAGATACAATTGGTGAAATAAATGTTTCAAATTAGAATTAAATCGAGCATGGAATCAGTCGGTTAGATACATAATAAAAGGCCTAACAGTAGGAAAAGCAAAAATAAAGAACCAGAAAAATATGTATGGCTGGAAAGCTCAGGAATTCATTCGAAACTATAACCTAGTTGTTGAATTAATTTTAGTCCTAAATATAAAACCTATTTCTTTTTTTATCAATTTTTTCTAAATTATTCCTATGAATATTTTCTCAATCATAATCAATAGAAGAAAAAGAGATATATCAAGAAGATGATTATGTGTTTTAAGAAAAACATGTCATATTTCTTGTAAGTAATTAACTTACCTAACTTTCTTAATCTAATCAAATTAGTTAAATAGGTCTTATATTAAGGATTGAAGGAGTATCAATTATTATATGCCTCCGCGTGCTTAGCCTAACTGTTTTTGAATTGGTTCCCAAATCCCAGATTATCTCATCAAATTAGAATTTATTCCAGTGCAACTTATCGTTTTCATCACCACAAATTTGGTTGACCTTCATAATTTGCCTGATTAAAACTATCCAATATTCTAAAATTCTTCGTGAATATTCAATATCCAGAATATTCTCCGTGCAGAGTTGAACATCCAATTCCTGGTCAAAAAAAGAGTTGAACATACAACTCACCCTAATGAATTTGCGGACGGTAAGCACATTCTAGAGACTTTCCCAAGGCAGAAACTATATATCCACCAGTGAGCTGATACAAGCATGGAATAGAACCATTAAAACGGAATAAGCCAATTGGGTCCGTCTGTTTAAACCTTTTTAAGCGAAAAGTCAGGCTTGTATTTTAGAAGGTTCAAAAGAAAATTAGACTTAAAAAGTTAGCTGACACGCACATATATATCATTAAATACTTGTTTATTTTACATTCGTACTTGTTAAATACTTGTTTGGGCACCCAAAAAACACCTGTTTACATAAATTGGAATAAAAATCTTTTTATATTGTTTTTAAAGGACCATACGGCCATTCCAAACAAGTGCTTAACTATGAGCACGTAATAAGACAATTTGACAAATATCTGAATTCCGCATGAAATAACGGCTGGATCCATTCATTGAATAAATGAACAATAAATGTGTGATTAAATAAAGAAGATTAAGGGACATGGAGTATGATGTGGCTATAAATTAATGTGCGACGACAATTTTGCTTGCCTACGATGAATGCACAACGTAATATGTCCTCTGTGTTTACTTCTTCCTCAATTCCAAGTGACGTGTCCCACAAGCTCAACATACTAACAGACGGATTAAAATTAAAGTCATCTAATCTTAGTTTATATATGTGTGTAATTAATCGCAAAATTATCGGCCAATATAAACAGACGGCTAGCTAGCTAGCTCAAAAATAGATAGACTACAAGAATTTTCAGTTCTTGCTTCATTGACTCGTGAATGTGATGACTTATCGCGCAGGTTATTTGCTCGTGAATAGATAATGCTAAGTTACATATAATTTTGATGAATTAATGAAAAAGTTTCAACAATAATCTACCACTTGTATTGTGTCCGGCCACAAACTCTGAGACCATACAAAATGATACTACTTCTGGTCTTATTTATAAGATCTTATTTACAGTTTATAAATTAGATTTCATAATTAAGACCGGAAGAGAAATATGATTGTATAATATATATTTGCTGGAGACATATATACACATGTAGTATATATTGAATGCTACAGTATATTGCTAATCTCGAACGAAAAATCAAACACCGAATCTTAAAGCTTACACGTGTCCAAGGATTAATGAACCAAACACGAGATTTTTCATGATGCAATTATACTTGAAGCATGCGAAAACAGGGACATTAATCTGAAATTATGGTTCATTAATTTTTTTTTCAACAGTTCCATGTAAATTATTATTAAGAGGTTAGTGATTTTGGACCACAAAATATCAGCTGGCAAGAGTGTGTCATCTTGTTATTTGGTTTTTTTTTTTTAAATAAAATGTACTCCTATTATTTGTTTTATAAATTAGGACGAAGAGACGGGAGAAGGAAAAGAAGAGGGCGTAATTGGCGGGAACAGGCGAAAGCGGAGGGAGGAGGCAGAGGCGCAATCAGAGGGTAAAGCCGAGGCAGAAACGCGGCGCACTTGTTTTCCCACCAAAGTATTGACCGCCAATGCCTTTTTGCCCTGCGCCCTTCCTTCTGCTTTATTGGTATCGCCTATCGGTTCTAAGTTTCGATCCTACATGGTAGTGTCATTTATACTTAAAAAGAATAAAAGTTAATTGACCGAATAAATAAAATAAACAAAATAAAAAGAGCTGAGAGCGTGGTCTTTATGGGACGGCTCAGGCGTCTGTGCATAGAAGTGGCCACCCTGTCAAGCGGGCGGCCGCCTCTTTATTCATCACTTCTCCTCTTTATCCCCCAGCCTACCCGATATTCCATCTTCCCATTATTATTATTATTATTATTATTATTATTATTAAATTTTTAAAAACCATTCAATTCATAAAATCATATTTCATTGAGGACCTTGATTTTATTAATCAACTTCATTATTTATATATGTGATCTAGAATGTTTATTAAATCATTGCAATTTTTGAAAACTTCTTTATATTATTCATATTTCTTTTATATCCAGCCAAACTCCCGCGCTTTTACCTAATTACTATGAATCTTTTTATCTATTTAATTTCCCCCCTTATTATTCCACATCCTCTTGTTTACATTTTTCTCCTCCAAGCTGTTTTTATAAAATAGTTTTACATGATTCTCTTTATAATTAATTTTAGCCAAGAAATTAAGCCGGGCCCTGATTACTGATTAGAGAGTATATTAATTTACGTTCATCTTTATAAATAAAACGTAGGTCACTTCTCAGGTCCCGCAAGATGCATCGTATGCATATACGTACGTGTGTACGTATGCGTAGTTTCTTCCATTGGACTCTCCACGTACAGACTAGCTGATCAATACCTGTAATAACGTAATGAAGGGAAAATGATAAAAAAAAAAAGCTAAAAATTATTAAATCTCAACCCAGGTATAGTAACAACATTTTATTTGGCGTTGATAGTATTGAATTTGTAAATGACAACAAATTTTTATTGACATTTAGTAATTTTCTGTTTTTTTGTCATTTTTTCTATAATGATTTTCTCAAATTCACTTAAAAAATTCATAAAATCCACTATCTGATTAATAGTGTAATAATTCAACCATGAATTTTTGGACCTAACAGAAATTAGTTTTAAGTTATATTTATTTCACCTAAAAAATAAATTCAACCCTAAGTTTGGATAGAATTCGCAATTTCATTTATATATAAAAAAAGACAAGGAGAAAAAAAAGAAAGAAATGGCGCCGCAAGAGGGTGCATGATTTATAAGAAGTGAATAATGATTTAAATTATAATCACAGCCTTGAAATTATTTTATGTTGGAGGCATGAATAATGTTATGGTTCGCATGTTAGGAGCGTCGGTGCCACTCGGGGCACGCCCCCACAAATGTCACTGCTCCAATTTCCAACTGTCTCTTTTTAACCCTATCCTTTTCCTAATTAATTCACATTTTCGTAGATATGGATGAAACCCTCTCCCTTACCCCCAAAAAGTAATAAAAATATGGGCAAATTGCAACACGATCCCATATAAGGGAATTAAATATAAAAAAGTCTCTTAAAATCATTAAATTATTCTGAAGTCTGAATGAACCTTACTGCAAAAGAATTTATTTATTTAATTACCAAATTATCTTTTTTTTAAGTTTGTATTCATTACTGAAAGAGTAGTTGTTGACTACTTAAGGTGTAAGAATTGACAACTATTATAACAGGTATTGACAATTCTCAGCATATCACAAAATATAATGTATGAGTTCTTAATACCAGGCCTAATAGTTGTCAGTCATTACACATAATGTGGTCATTGATTGCTTTTTCAGTTGTTAATACAAACTAAAAAAAACAATTTAATAATTAAATAAATAAAATGTATTGCAATAAGGTTTCTTGAGACTTTAAAATAATTTGATAAATTTAAGAGATTTTTTTTATATTTAATTCTCTTAATTGAAACCTTATTGCAATTTTTCCTAAAAATATATAACTGTGTTTAGAAAAAGAAACAACCGATGATGAAAATAAAGCAGTAAAATAAGATTAAAAAAATCGGCGGCGTTGGAATAAGGATGTTACTTTTTTTTTTTTTTTAAATGCTGAGTTATTAACGATTTCAAACACAAAAGATAAATCCAAATGTGGAATAATCCATTGTCCCGGCTTATCCAGGATAGACGTATACCCGAGAATCTTCTGGAGTCACGGGAAGCCCGATTTTGATCTCATACTAACTCCGCAAGTCAATATAATTATATAACGCATTCATTTACATTTCATAGGATCCGATTCACATGAAAATATAAGGTTGTCACAAGTTTCTTTTTTTCTTTAAGAAAGAAAGCAGATTTCAAGATAAAAGTTCTGATACATGAGAGTATAGAGACATGAATATGAACAAGTTAGATGATGCTCCTCTATCTTTTTTTATCAGTAACATTGTAGTTCATTACATAAATCAAAATGTTAGTTAAAACTAGTTAAAAACAATAAATATATAAAAATTAGAAATTCTTTTTCTAAAATGCCTTTATTTATAGGGAGAGGTATAAGAAAGAGAATAAAAAAATTATTATAATAAAAAAATTATGGAAGAGAAAGAATATGTGATGGAGAGATGATTGTTTGAAAAATAAAATAATAAATATATTAAGTATTAAAATAAATAAGTAACGGGAGTAAAATAGATAATTTACTTCAAAAATTTAAAACAGCTTGTAAATACTGTTGATATTTAGGAATAAAAAAAATATAAGAGGCACTTTTAACACCGTCTATGTCGGCAAAAAAATAATAATAATATAGCAATAAGTTTTAAGACAAAAATTTACCCTGTATTTTAGTTGTGAACAAAGGCTTTTCGGCCCTGTGACGCACGCTAGGATGCGGGTTCGACCCGCGTTTCCTGCACGCGTTAGCTTTTAATTAATAATAATCAAAAGAAAATTAATACAACGGGGAAAAAAGGGCAAAATGGTGCAGTTGGAAAATGGATGAGAGAGAGAGAGAGAGAGAGAGAGACGGGAGTGGGTTCCATTAATTGGAACGAATCCATTATTTATTCACACTTTCAAAATCCAACACCACCATCTCCATTCCATGTTAGGTGTTTTGGATAAGCTTCTACTCCTCTTCCACCATTCTTATTTTTAAATATTTATATTTATTTATATATATTTGCCCACACCGGCCTCCTTATTCAAATTCCTTGGTTCCTCATTGACCTTCCTGTATGTCTCGGTCCACACGTCTTTCGTCGTAATTTTCTTCCAAATTACACGACCCTCCTTTCATCTAAATCCCTACTATATATATCCCTCCTTCTCTTCTGCCTCCTCTATCCAAGTTCAAAATTATTCAACTTTCTTTCAAAAAATGGTCGATTTGCATTGGAAATCCAACATCGTCGGCTCCGATATGCCTACCAAGCTCTCTCCCGCCTCCGCCACTATACCCCGTGTCATGTCCCTTCCACCTCTGACGGCGCCGTTTCAAGCCGCTGATATCTCTGCCTCGTCTTCCCCGGCCTGCTCTGCTTACGACCACTATCTTCGCCTTCCTCAACTTAGGAAGCTTTGGAGCGCCAGCGACTTCCCCGATTGGAAGAGCGAGCCTATCTTCAAGCCCGCCCTCCACGCGCTTGAGATTACTTTCCGTTTACTCTCCACCGTCTTGTTAGATCCCAGGCCCTACGTCAACCGCCGCCAATGGCTCCGCCGTATCGAATCCCTAGCCGTCGCCGAGATCGAGACCATCTCGTCCCTCTGCGAGGACGACGAAGATGACCCCGACACAAGTGGCACCGCTCCGACAGCTGACCTCAGCAAAAGCGAGGGTGTGAGTTACAGCGAGGCGAGCTTGCTTCCTCGCTTGGCCACATGGTACAAATCTAAGGACGTAGCGCAGAGGATCCTCCACACCGTCGAATCTCAGATGAGGAGGTGCCCCTACACTCTGGGTTTGGGTGAGATGAATATAGCCGGAAAACCAAGCCTCCTGTACGACGCCGTATGCAAGCCGAGCGAGATTCATTCCCTGAACAAGGCGCCCAACGACGATGTCATCGAGAGCTGCGAAAACCAGACGGTGTACACGACGCACCAGATCATAGAGTCGTGGATTCACGTCGCCCACCAGCTTCTCGGCAGAATCACCGAGAGAATACGAAGCAAGAAATTTGATAAGGCCGCGGAAGATTGCTATATGGTGGAGCGGATCTGGAAACTACTTGCCGATATCGAAGAACTCCACCTTCTAATGGACCCCGACGATTTCCTGCGTCTGAAGAGCCAGCTTTCGATCAGATCGACAGGGGAGACGACGGCGTTTTGCTTCCGGTCGAAGGAGCTGGTGGAGGTGACGAATCTGTGCAAGGATCTGAAGCACAAAGTGCCGGAGATATTGGAAGTGGAGGTGGACCCAAAGGGAGGACCGAGGATTCAGGAGGCGGCGATGAAGCTGTACGTGGACAAGAATGAGAAGGGAGGGTTCGAGAAAGTTCAGCTGCTTCAGGCGATGCAGGGGATAGAGTCGGCGATGAAGAGGTTCTTCTTCACGTACAAGCAGGTGCTGGTAGTAGTGATGGGGAGCTCGGAGGCGAGCGGTAACCGAGTTGGGACGAGGTCGGAATCGGGCGACTCACTGAGCCAGATATACCTTGAGCCCACCTATTTTCCGAGTTTGGATGCTGCAAAGACATTTCTGGGGTACTTCTGGGATAACGAGCACCGATGTTACTAGTGTTGTAGGGAGTCATTCTCCAGGATACTTTCGTAATTTACACATTGAAACACGCGTGAAAGAAAATTAGACACTTAAAAAAAAATTCTTTTTTCCCAAAAATATGAATTAAATTATTCTTGTAAGAGGGTGTATCATTATCTGTTTATAAGAGATATTTAATAAGATTTTTTTTTGCACCATTGCTCACGTTTTGGATTGGAACTTTGAGGTATATTCTAGGCGGTCAGCTGTGATAGCAACTATGTTATCCTTTTCCATTTGTGCATTTGAAGAGGAAGCGATAAAACTAATGTTGCGTTTGGAATTAAAATTTGATAACTGTGTGTGTCCATTCCTTATTTTCAATGGATATAAAAAATCAAAACATCATAAAGACGCTGTTTTCCAGAGATAAAAAGGCTTAATTTGCGCGTATGAAACATAGTTTTGATCAAACGTTCCTTTGAAAACTAGACATAATAGAAAAGAAAATGTTGACCTTTAATAGAATAATTCTGAATTTTGCCCAAGAAAATATTTGTGAATTCGTCGTCGTAAGAGTGAGTCTCATCACTTACATCTTTTATCCTGAAAAGATATTTATCATTGTGATAAACAACGAGTGGAGTGGAGATTAATATAATTTAGCTCCAATTTTCATATGGCCGTCACCCGCCTAAAGTTGTTTTGTTAAATATTTCTTTCATGAGCAAACCAAAATATATATATACTACCTCCGGTCCTAATTATAAGAGCCAGTTGACTAATTTGAGGAGATGAAGAAGGTAAGTTGAGTTAGTTATTTGTCTTAAATAGGTGTTGTCTTTCCTAAAATATCCTTGCTAATCAAATATATTGACTAAAACTATCATTGTTAGAAGGCTATTTTGAAAAAAAAATATAAATATGAGAAACAAAGTGGATTGATGTCTTATATTTAGGACCAAAATAAAAGTCAAACAAGGTTTTATACTAAGGACCGGAAGTAGTATATATATATATATATATATATTTCTTTCATGTTTAAAGCCTTTTCAATTGTGCTCATATGTTGGGCACTCTTTTAAGTTTATTGAATTGAATTATCATCCTTTTCACAGGTTGTTTAATATTAATAATTGTATATATGGGATCCTTGATCCATCTGCATCTAGACGCAAGCGTTGTGGTTGAGGTAATATTCAATAAATGTGAGATATACTTGATCTAAAAGGGAGAGGCGAGAGGGGCCCAGCATGATAGAGTCGTTGGAAAACATGGGCGGAGAACAAAATGGATAGTGGTTGGGGGAGGAAAGCTCCGAGGAAGGAGCAAGTTTAGTGGGTCAGAGTTGTGTAATCAAATCGGAATGGATAACTGCCAACAAAGATTGCTTTCTCGCGGTAATAAATTAGCTCATAATTTAAGAAATTGTGAGTTCAGATTTCATTTTTAACGAGTTTTTAAATCTAATTTTTATATTGTCAAATGACAATATTTGTATCAAGTTTTTTATATCTGTCATGTCAAGTTTTCTAATCACATATAATTATATCTTTTATTTTTAAAATATTAAAATTTAATAATAAATCCACATGAGATATAAAAAAAAGATACATGACTATGCATAGAAAACTTAATATAATAAATATAAAATATTTGACCTAACTTTTTTCCATTATCAAAAAGTGGCAATGGATAACTGCGAGATGCTCCTGAGGGTGAGCATCAGGCGATGAGCACCCAGGAGTGATGTGACGCAATATAAACGATAAAAAGCCCTAATGTTTTTTTTAAAAACCAAAATAAAAAGCCCTAGTTAAGACAACACAACTGGGCAATTAGTGGATTACCAAGCAGGAAGGAAGGAAGCAGAAATTGAGTCAAATTTGGCAGCAAATTGGAATGAATGTGTGTGGCTGTCTCCCTCCCTTTAGATTTTTCTACGTTTTACTCTCTCAACACACAAACTGGCTCTCACTGGATAAACTTCTTCAATCACTGTTATTATTATAACAATATAACTTTTCTTCCTCAGCCCCATGGAAATTCAATTGATGTCGTCAACCTGTATCTCAAAAATTCAAACGAATAGTTTATTCACGGTCAAAATTCATTTTTAATTTTTTATGGGTGATTTTAATTGAATTAGATCAATTCGTTATTTATAAGAACAAATCAAAATCATATATTAAATAAATTCTAAAATTAAAAATACAAAAAATCACCATAATTTAATATACCTGGAAAAGTCTGCTAAGCAAAACAAAATTAACTGTTAACTATTGACTATTTCAGTTCATATTTGACTGATTCACCTTTAAACGTAGGCCAGACCAGGTTCAGAAGTTTTGGTCATCTAGATACAATTAACACTACTTATATTATCTGTGATCCTTAATATAAGAACTAGTTTGACTTTTATTTTGGTCTTAAATATAAGATTCTAATCTACTTTATTTTTAATATTTATCCATTTTTCTTAAAGTAGTCTTTATAACAATAGTAGTTCTAACCAATACACTTGATTAGTAAATATATTTTAGGAAAGATAACACATATTTATCACAAATAACTAGTTTAATTAGTTTTTTAATTACTCAAATTAATTAATCATTTTTTATATTAAGGACTGAAAAATAATATTAATTATATTTCATAATGATATTGTGTTTTGTAGAGAGGGCCTTTTGATGTAATGGGCCATTTAGTCTCAAAACAAAAACATATAAATGGGCCATGGAGGTTAGAGTGAATCTTATTAATATTAAATAGACCATCATATTTAACCTTAAAAATTAAAAAAGGAAGGTAACAACATATTTTCGCCGTTAGGACTGTGTCTCAGCTTTTAACTTTGTATATAGACAAGCTTTAGAACGGGCAAACCATCTAGCTAGATTCTCTCATAAGGCGGTGGATGATAAATATTTGATTCTTAATTCTCATTACGGTATATTCGATTATTTGGGTTTGGTTTAGTTAGATTGCAAGTATATTTACAAATATTTGACTCTTTTATTTAGTAAATAAATAAATAAACAAAATTGTGATCCGTTTTCCTCGTCCTCCTCTTAATCAAGGACAATGAAATAAATTAAAATGAAACAAGTTTAAAGGTTACATAAAATAAGCAAACCAGCAGAAAAGGAACTAAAATTTAAAAACAATATTTGGAGATAACTTTAGGAAAAATGGAAAAAAAAAACAGCCGAAATAGAAAAATTACACACAGGGATTAGTTTGTAAAAATTGTTAAAACCCAAACTAATATTATTATGGGTCCTTATTTGCAATTTATCTATTTCCATGATCTTTTTTGCCATTTTCCCATAACTTTAACTGAGAAAAACCATGAATAAACATAAGAATTTCTCGCCGAGTGATAATAAGAAATTTCTCGAAGCTTGAACGAATCTGTATGAATCTTTTCTGTTTCCAAAATTTAGCAGAGTAGATTGATGGATCCCAAATAATTAAGACAGATGATACGATGGCAATAATGTCTAACAAGCCTTTTTAACCTTGTATTTGCCTACTTCTTGGAATCGGCCAAGGCCTCGTCTCATGTGACTTGGATTACCGAATACCGATCACGAAATGAAGTAACCCTCACCTGTCAATTCATATTATTTATTTTCTTCAAAACATTAAAAAGATATTTGGATAAGAACAAAACTATAGTTTCAGAAGTGTTTTTTTAGTTTATAAAGTAAATATATAAAAGAATTTAATTCAATTTGTGAAAAAACACTTCTGATTATGAGGTTATCCAAACACCAATATATGTTGTCACTCTCTCCACACCACCGCCAAGTTAATCTCTATCACCTCTGATCTGGACCCACGTGTTATCCACTCAGACTTTTCATCACCTACACACCCGTCCTGCCCCAAAATTTTCTTTCTTTTCTTGGAGCCCTCCTGTATTCTTACGATCCAACATGCAGTAGCTATCTTCTTCTCTCTGTTTTATTGCCTTCGCCATGGATTTCTTACCTGTTTCAGTCTCCGGAAAATTTAACATAGATCACGTCCCGCATTTTTGCTTTGTACATACCTTCAATTAATGCCCCATTTGATCTCCCAGAGGCAATAGTTATCATTTTTCCTTTTTCGTTTTTTATCTCTTCGCCTTTTGACTGCTTCTCCGTTTCAGGGTACATTCAAATCGTAGAAAGCTCCGATCGCTGTTTCTTTCTCTGGTTCCCTTTGAGATCTGATTCGAGTCTTTCTAGATGAGGAAAGAAAACTTTTTATAACACCCTCTTGGAGGGGCTTATCGGGTTTGTGACTCAATTCCACTGCGTGATTTTTTTTTTTTCCTTCATATGTTTTTTGGCCGCAAATCACCGCTTCTGGGATATGGGTTTGAGAGTGTATCAGAGTCCCAAGCGAATGCAAAGTTCCTTGTTCAGAGCCCCTCGTTCTGTGTGTCATCCCTGTAAGCCCCCTTCTGTGTTTCCCTCGTCGTCTTTGAGACATCTCAATGATAGCAACGTTGCTCTCTCTTTCCGCTTGGTTCATCGATTCGCGTTTCGGGGATCAAAGGTTTTGAGACTTGAAAGAGTGAGACGGACTTGCAATGCCGATTCTGGGGAATGGTTCGATGAAGAAATGATGATGAATCTCGTTAGGCAAGCTGCGAAGGAATTTGACATCCCATACGAAGAAGATGAAGATGACAAAAGAGCTGTAGAACTGATTCACAAAATCTCAGAGAAAATCCAAAATACAGAGCAGCTAAGTAGCTCAGAAAAGAGTTCTTTGGAGCAAATTTGGACCACGAAGCATGATGTTTTGGAGCCTTCTGAGTTGGGAATTGAGCCAGAGCCATCGAGCTGGCCGGAGAGCGCGAAAATGCCAAGAGCGTACTTTGAAAGGAAAGTGAACTATTTGGGAATCCCTTTCTCGATTCGGATGATTCAGAAGAAGCTGCAATGGCAGAAGAATCTCACAGAGGCGAAGGAATGTACTTACTGTTCTGTGAAGAAGACATTCTCGTCCGTGGTTTTCATAATCCATGAGCTTCAAAATTATGCCCTGAAAATAAGGGAAAACCTGTACTGTGAGGACTTGCAGGATCTGGTGAGAAAAATCCAAAGTGATGTCGATGCTTCATTTGTATGGCTCTTCCAGAAGATTTTGTGGAAGACTCCAAGTCTTATGGTCTATACCATGGTCCTCCTAGCAAACTTCTCTGTACTCTCCATGAATAACAACACTGCTCTTGCAGCCACTCCTTTGATTACACGAGTACAGATGTTGACCGACAGGAAGGGTGAAGGAGGTTCAGAAGTTGATGTTGATGCTGTTTCTGAAAAGATTCTATGGAATTCGATGCTGGAGGAAGCTCGTAGATTGCAAGAGTTAAGGAGTGAGACGTTGGACAATGAGACAATGAAAATGTTTGTAGCTCCAGTGTCTGTGGAGCTTGAAGGAGATGCATATGAGGAATACGAAAGAACTGAGCTCTACTACAAAGAGCACATAAATCAGGCACCTCGTAGCTCTCTTCTGCTTTCTAACTATGCACAGTTCCTCTACCTTGTTTATCATGACGTTGACAGGTGAGTATTTCAGAACTTTTCTGCTATATTCTTTCTAGCTCTCCTCCATATTAAGAAGGTACTAGTTTTCTTTTCCCCGTATTCTTAAACTCCAGAATTTCACAATATTTCTGCTGGTCATTGCTCATGAGAAAGGGAGGAAGAGGCATTTTACAGTAGTTCTGAAAATTGAATTTACGTCACTCCACGAGTTACTCCATTTGATTCTAGGAGGTACATTGCTCGTTGCTGATTATCTGTCGTCCTACTTGACCTGAAAAAAATTGAATGTGAAATGGCAGGGCAGAAGAATACTTCAGGCGTGCGGTGATGGTCAAGCCACAAGATGCAGAGGCATTGAGTAGATATGCCGACTTCTTGTGGCTGGTAAGAAAGGATCTAAAGGAAGCAGAAGTGAGATACCTGCAAGCAATGCAGGTTGATCCTGACAGCACTCATTACAAGTCCAAGTTTGCCACTTTTATTTGGAGCATCAGTGACCAAGGAACTTGTTCTCCTTCCTCAGTAAACTCCGACAGCCTCGATCCAGTCCCATGATCTATCTCAGATGCGAGATGCTGTCTTGACTTTGACATGACATCATCCAACGTTTATACCAACACCCCAAATCGATTTCATTGATATGAGTGAATGTCAATAAATACGACATCACGTACATACAATAAATCACTTAGATCAGCTCTCTGCCTCTATTCCCAGAATATAAATCTCACCCGCAATAATATTTTCAAGTCTTCTGTTGAATAAGTTTAGATGCTACTAAACAGAGCATGTCAAAACGATGGTCAAGTGAACCGTCCTCCTTACAGAAACTAAAGCCATTGAACCTTGTTCTCACACAAAAAAGGGGCAAGTACATGAGATGGAAGACCAGAGTGTAAGATTCCTGAACAAGTTACTTCACTAAAGGATATAAAAGTCCGTAAATCTACAATCACTTCATAATGAGGAGACAAAAAGCACGCCAGGGTGGCAGCACCCTTGTATTAGCTGTCAATTATACAATGAATCAATCAAAGGAATTTGATATGTTACCTTTCACCACAAAAACTTGTGATTTACATATAGGATTTCATATAAAACAGTAGAACTAAAAATAAGAATCAGATAGCTAGCTAATTCAGGATCGTGGAATTTCTTTTCAAGCTAAACTTGAACCTAGATAGGCATCACCAAAACCAGGCGTTGCGGCTGTCAACAGCCTTCACTGAAGTATACACCAAGGGCATCCTTCCATACTCTGCAGCAAATTTGTTTACACATTCTGTTCTTCTTTCACTGTGACCACCCAGGCTGCTGATTCCGGTTGATCCTATCTCAAATATTCTACCTAGAAGATTGTAAAAGAAAAAAAGTATCAGTAAATTTGATATGTGGATGTATCCATGCACAGATGGGATATGTCAAAACTGTGGATTATATATGAGCAAGACAATCTAAAATCAAGCACCGACTCATTCACAAGCTTCAATTGGTATAACAAGTAATTACAGGTTACTGACTACGTACTTTGATGAATTGCATCACTAGGCAACCAAAAGAGGGGTATGGTAAAAGATGAAAGCCCCACCCGAGATTTGGATTCAGTAAGAGACAGTTTAAATGGATCCTAATCTTCCGATTACAACTTAAATAAATGAAATGATTCTTTTCTGTTCAAGCAATTTGGAGCATCTGGCTGAAAATGATTGAGATAGAATCTCAACGCCTCTCGCTGAATCCAAAAATAGTTATTGATCGTGAGAGGCTTCAGATTGACATGAATGGAACAATTATGATGATAGATATATGAGTAGCAGAAATGCCTACTTTAGCTTCTCCAATTCTTCAATTATGAGATATAACATACGTTCCAACAATTTAGAAATAGTTCCCTCTATACACAAGTTAGAACATTGCCGGTTTAGCAGAATTTTGCATTTCTATTTTCTTGCGTCTATTGAAAAAGGATAAAATAATGCCTTTGTACCCAAATAACAGCACATGATGTCGTCATCCTCATAAGATGGGCCAAATGTTCACAATATCTCATGGACAAGGAGATGATCTGTTTCAGAGATAGCAATTACCTTTCACCCATATCGGTGGTGCACCAGTTGCATTAGCAACAAGGAAAGACATTGCAATATCTTCACAATTCCTGGTGAAATCATTTAACAACAACGTAAATAATATAGGAATCAGATAATTTACAATATTCAAGTCTTTAAACCAAGAAGGAAGCAATTAATTTTTTAAGAGAAAGAACCTTTTCTTGGTCACATATTCTCTAATTGATGCAGGCATCTCATTCGTGTAGAGACTAAAATACTTTTTGTGGAAGAATGCTGCCTTGGAGAGCACCATGCTGTACGTACCAGTCCACCACACAGACCACCACCCACCGTATTCAAATTTATCACCATTTCCTTTCTGCAAGTGAGTTGAATAACTTGAAAGGTCAACATAAGAAGTTTTAAATGGGCCCCATCCTCATAAGAATCTCACTAAAACCAATAAGAAAATAACAGTCATAAAGACAGACAAACTTTCAAGGGTTGAAGGATTACATAAATTGAATTGCAAATTCACATCAAGAATTACAGATGAAAGACACTAAACTACAGCTTCTAGTATATCGGATCACCATACTAAGAGACACTCTTAGTTAACAAAAGAAGTTCAACTTTTCTTTCCGTTTAAACTCAAATCCTCGCTGACAATGATATAACAGCTCCCCTGTTTATGATGGTAATCTACATAAGAATCAACAAGTTATCTTGCCATAACCCAAGTTGTAATCAACATTGGTTTTTTTTTTTCCCTCTCTCTCTAAATTACTTGTCTAAATAAGACTTACTTTTGAAATGGAACTCCACTCAATCTGTCCCACAAAAACTAATTTGCTTTCTATTTTTGGAAACAGAATGTTGAAAGGTACCACCGTCAAATATAATGCTAGTTAGAGGTCCTAACTCATATACCGACATTGTTCTGTACAAAAGATAACCAAAAAGGAAATATTATGTGATCAAAATTATAAGGGATAACAGACAGCACAGTAGAGGGATTTAAAAATAAGTATAATCATACCGAGGAATGTACCCAATGGGCACGGGGAACAAATCCCACCATTGTGTCTGGTGCACTTTGCCAAACATCAAATGCAAATTCCACAGAAGAGCAAGGAAATATGACATCATCATCAATGGAAAAGACTGCATCTGCCTCTAAATCTTTGATTGCCTTAAACCTATTGTTTAAACTGTCTTCTTCATTGATATCAAACTTCAATTTGACGTGTCGCCCATCTTTAGAATTGGACTGCACTACATGGTGTAAAAACTTTAAAAGGGAATCTGAAGGAGGATTAGGTTCGCTCCACACAATATGTATTGATTTTAGCCGAGGACATGATGAATAGTGCTTGATGGATTGCTTTAGGAGATCATATCTCTTCCATGTGTTCATTACAATAGAATATCCTTTCCTGTTAAGAAACATAGAATGAAATAAGTTCCCAAACATTGCAATCTATATAAGCTCAACACCTGAAGGAAAATGAAAATTAAGAGCAGCCTATATTTATTCATCTCACAATGCTCTCCAAAAAGCGTGACAATGTGAGGCAGCGTGTCCTCCAGACTCCATAAGAAAATGGATAGTCATTCATGATAAAATTAAGAGCAAGTTAGAAAGCAATTATACCGTAGACCAAGCAAAGGGTTATGGTGATTTGAAGAGAATCTATAAGAACTAAAAGTTGTGATTTAAACTCTAGACCCTGAAGGTGTCCTCACCAGTCTCGTTTTAAGGTCCTGTCTCCAACACCCCATTTCATGAATTAGTTTGGTAACATAAATTAACCTAAACGGCTAAATCCCCAAGCGAGAATTTTAAAACTCAGATAAATTGTGACTTGAAAAGCCAACCTTTGTCGGAGAGAGGATATGGATATTACTCAAGCAGACATTCAACGTGCCACAGTAGCACTAAAAAAAGAGCCTTATCGGACTATATCCACGCTTTAAAACCTTTATATATCCAAGGTAAGCACAACAATATCTACTTCATAGAATGGATTTGCAACTTTTTTTATGAAGATTTGCAACTTCGTTTACCTTCTTTCTTTCTATTTTTAGTGGAAAGGGAAACTTTCATTTGCCTTTATCAATTCACTGTCCTACTCTTTTTCTTTTGTGTCTATAGAAGCCGTTATAAGCAAACTATCAGCTGCTGGGGATCCCTTTCAAAATATTATTGGCAATATTTCAACCAAAAACTGAAATGATCTAAGTTACTTGAGGAAGGCAATCTTTTTTTCCCCCCTAGGTTCGCTTCCCATGCTCGCCCCAAATAGAAATTTTGAGAACTAGTAAGTGGAGCATAACATATGCAAAGGAATAACCAACTGATCCAAAAACAAAAGTCCGTTAGTATAAAAATCCACGAACCTTGAGGCAGAGTAAGGAGTGAAAACAGGACTCTGATTGGTCCATACCGCGAAGGCGGAAGCACTGCAGGTGAGCACGAACACCGTAAACGCAATGCAACAACAGAGCAAAAGCTTGATCTTCACCGATTTAACCGGGGCTACCAGGAGCTGCCGGAACCTCTGCTCTGCCCGACGATTCAACTTCAACCACCAGCAGCTCCCTCTCATCACCGCCAGCTTCCTATATATGGAGAGAAAACAATACACCCTCGCAAGGGACGCGCCAGAGCAACCCGATCCCTCCGACAATGATCCGAAAGTCTCAGCAACAAGTCGGATCTTCGTCCATCCGAGCTCCTTCGCAGCCGGTAAGAGAAGGCAGAAGAGCTAGTGATCCAGCGTGGCGGAGGTGTACAAGGGAATCCGAGAGGGGGGAAGAGGAAAATGAAGCAGTTTCCCAGTAGTTAGGTTCCCGTCCGAATGCTGTGTCGTATGCCCAGACTGGTCATCCTTCAGATCAGAGAGGACGCAAAATTGTCCTGGGCGCGGCACGAAGACCGTTTCTTCTCATCACCAGGGACATCCGAATTAGATGTCGTGACACGTGGACAGTCATGTACCGTCCGATGGAAGCGTCCGGCGACTTGATTAGATCTCGCGGTGTAGATTACTGCTCTATTGGAGAAGTAAATTTCATAGAGCCCCAAATAAAGCGTGGCACGCTTGTTTTTTTCTTAGGTGAACAGTGCGGGAGAAATGAGACACAAATATATGATGGATATCACATGTAATTACACGTGGAGGGTGATGATTAATTGAATGGATACTTAGGTTTGAAGAAAATACTGTAACTGTTTGGTTCAGTCACATTCACTGGATAGGACACATGGAATCAACACATTATTTGGTGCTCACATACTTCCATCAATCTCCCAACGGGTGTGGTTTAAAAAAAAAAAAAATCTACCAAGGAGATTCGCTGGCAAAAAAAATTTTTAAAAAAAAAGCCACCAAGGAGATTGACTACTGATTATTTATTCTCTGTTTTTCTCCTGCAATCATGAATCCGGTTAATTCAAGGCATCAAAGGCAGCATCTTTGGCATGAATAATTACCTAAAATATTAAAAGGTTCATTAATCTTGGATTATACACCTTATATATTGAATACTATCTCTTATCAATAACATTAAAAAAATTAGTTAAATTAGTTATTTATGACAAATTTGTATTAAGTATTAACTTTCTTAGATTATATTATTATATAAATAATAATTTTATGTATTGAAATTACTCTCTCTTTCTTGTCATTAGCTCTGTCCTTTTCAAACCTCCTCCACCCTTCTCCTTC